TATTACAATGCTTTCATACACAAAATGTCTAATTTTTTTTATTAAGTCTTAAGGTTTGTAAAGCAATGTTTCTTTCATATCTTTTATTTTTCACATCTTGCCTATCTATTATGCAAAGTAATTTTCATTTTAAGATTAAAATTTTGAAATTTCACATGCAAAATCTTTATAATGTCCGGATAGTTATCAAAAATTTCTTAAGAAAAACTTTATATTTTATCTGTTATTTTGAGTAATTAATCTCTGTATGGGTTCAGTAAATTTGACCGATCTCATTACCATAAAAAATTAGGAAAAAACATAAATTATGCCTCTTTCATTCTAGAATGATCATGAATTATAACACGAAAACACAAATGTTTAGAAGAAATAGCTTAAATCTCATAACATTATACATTTATATATATTTATTATATTGACCCTTCACCCGTGCCTGGCAAACAATACAGTAATTTGTCTTGGCTGTGTTTTAGTCGACTAGTATTTTGTAAAATACAGTCACATTTCAATTATTATACATCATATATGTATATAGATTATTGCTATTTTGAAATAAGTTCTTAAAGTTATTTTCCCTAAAACATAGAACAGTAAATGAAGAAGTAAATCAAACAATTATCTCTTCTAGTTACAACCTTTGTACTCAGTTGCTGCTTGACGTAGGTTGCTAAGCCTTTTAAAATTTTGCATGTGGAGGATATGAAACAAAATGTTTTAGGTTTTATATATATATATTTGAATAACTAAAAGATCATAAATTACTACATCAATACCATAGAATTCTACTATAAATTATCAAGCTTAATAACTAAGCTGTATTTGGGTCTAAAAAATATGAAATTTCGAGCAGACTAAAGACACAATCTACCTCATTGAAATCTTAGTTCAAAAGAAAGAAATGGTGGAAGGAATGTTGAAAGGCTGAGAAAACCACTAGAGAGACATTCTGAGCTTCCGATTTGGTTATTCGTGTCATATATAGAAGTAAGTGTATATAAGGGAGCATTTCCAAAAATGGAAAGAGGTAGGCAGGGTGCTACTGTGATTGATTTATTACGTGAGCAATATCTTAGCAAATAGAAAAGATAAGACCTTCAATATCTGTAATTTGAGTTTCTAATTCATATGAAACTATAGACTTGGTATTTTGACTACACAAACATCAAATTTGGACCAGTGCTGCATTCAACATACCATGTGACACACAAAAATCAATGTTTATCTGTTTTTTTTTTCATATTTGCTTTTAAATTAAAAATTGAGTAATGTATAGTTCTTAAATTTGAATTATAATCTACAGTTTGATACCAAACTTACTGATGTAAATTCATGAAATAGTAGTTGAATAAAATTTTGAATGTGAGTCAACAAACGAGATGACATGGCCTTTCACCTGTGACCAGTCTCGAAAGGGTTAATATAGTATGTACAATTGGTAAATTTCCGGAGATTCTTTAAACTGCTAAGACTGTTCCCATCTACAAGGGTGGGATCCTGATCATGTGAAAAATTATTGGTCTATTTCCATCTTATCTCCATTCACTCATATTACTGAGCGTATATTTTACAATAGAATTATTGTGTTTCATGAGAAGGATAAGATTTTAAATAATTCACAGTTTGGTTTCAGTAAGCACAAATGTACTGAAAAGTGTTTATGCTATTACTATGAAGCTTATTAAGGCTTACAAGGGTAAGAAATCTGTTTTAGTCTGTGCTCTTGATATTCCCAAGGCATTTGATAGCATTAATCACACAGTTTTACTTATAAACATACTAATTACAGTCTATGTGGTATGATTTATGATTATATAAATGTGCTCATTACAGTCTACATGGTAATATTAATGATATTTTAAAAACATACTTAATAAATAGGTAATGCTATACATCAGTCAATAGTATGAAGTTTCATTTCTCTAGTCTCCATAGTGGGGATTCTCAAGGTTTAATCCTTGGCTCACTCTTATTTATTATTTATGCTAATGATTTAATTTCGATGTGTTCAAAAGATACAAGCAACCTATATGTTAACAATATGACTTACTATAGAGGGGGATTCTCTTGCTGACTATTTTAAAATAGCCAATAATGAGTTGTTTTCAATTGATACCTGGCTTGTCAACAAATGCCTAGTTTTTATTTCTGTAAGTCACAATATATGATTATATCTAGGAAACAAGTAAATGAAGATTTAAGTTTTAAGGGCAATATAATATCCAGAGTTGATTCAATAAAAGTTTTTGGAGTTGTTATTCAGAATAACCTCAGATGAGATTAACATATTAAAAGTATCTCAAAAAACTCATCAGAGTAGTCTATATTATGACTCAGTGTAAGAGGGTTTTCCCACTTAAAATTCTTTATCACATTTATTATGCCATCTTCTACAGTCAAATGACTTATTGTTTAAATGTTCGGGGTTCACATTTTAATGCATTAAGACCAATCTGGTTGTTAGAAAAGAGGGTCTCGAGGCTAATGATAGGCCTTCCTTATACATCACCAGTTTCAATCAAATTTAAGGAATATGAACTTTTTATCAGGCCTGTGTTTACCACTTCATTTGTGTTGGAAGGGATATTATATTTAATCCTGAAATGAATTTGTTAATTCCTCTAGATACAGTTTATATTTCTTTGATCAGAGAAATATCTATTACTGTCCAAGAAGTTCTTTGTTTTTGAGTTCTAAGTTTTATTATTATTTGGCTTCAGTGATTTTAAATTGATTGAATTTTGATGTTTGGTCTACCTCTAGTATTAAGTTATTTAAAATAAAATGTGTATTTACATATTTAATAATTATTCCATGTTTGATTTAACTAATGTGTAAATAGTTTTTCTTTTATACTTACTTATCTCTCACGGCTGTAACTTTTCAATTAAATATTTAAAAAATCAATGTAATCACTTTATTTTAATACTGATATTAAATTAAAAGTTTCATTGAGAACAAGTCAAAGAAGAGAAGGGGTTGTGGTATACAAACACCACATATATCACTCTCCCGTGTTATGTATTTCATGTCATAGAAACATTTTCGAAAAATTGTTTAGAATTATAATTCAGAAAATGATAAATTTGGTTAATTTGTGTGCTAATTCAACCCTAAGTATTGCTTTCTTTATCAGGATTCAAGTCCAAGAGACTATTTTCTGTTCCTTGAGATAGCTGTATTGTATCCTACATAGTGCTGTGTATGTGTGTAGTGTGTGTGTGTGTGTGTGGGGGGGGGTACTCAATGATTATTACATGAAGCGGAGAAGCCTTCATACACTTCTGGTCAAATTTTGTGAGTGGTCTGCTATGGGAAGAATAAAGATTGTGAAAGCAGTTTTAACATTTTAAGAGAAAGATTAGCTTCTAATTTGAAAGGAGAAAGAGCTGCTGTAAAGTACTTTATTTAGGTAGGTCCTTTATTGTATAAGCTAATTGTATTAAATCCAGTTCAGACAGCATGCTAATCCAACCTTAAATGTTAATTTTAATAGTAGAATTTGGTCAAGGATACTATCTGCTGTTTAATTGGATAGTTTTATTGTATCCTACATTTCCTTGTGCGTATGTGGGGCTACTTTACAACTGTATTATTGAACATAAATGCCTTTGACTACTTATGATTTAATTTTGTGACTGTCACTTTTATTTTACTTTAAATTTGTCATTTAATATTGAAAGTCAGCTTGTAAGGTAACTGCAGAATGAAAAATAAATAGTACTTAGTTGTGTTCATGAAACTTGCCTGTTTCTTCTCTGTTTCACTTGTTCTTGCATTAGTATTTTATCCAACCAACTCTTCGAGCCTCTTGTTACGTAGGGGTAGTTTACCTGTATGTTATTATTTGTCTAAACCAGGAATATTACATTACCAACCCTGATATCATGAACTAAATAAAATTTAATAATATATACAAATATATACATTAACAACTTTCACATTATATATTGAAACTTGCCTGTACCTTTCCATCTACCAATACAGCTATGTTAACAACAGATCCTCCCATCTCATAACATATTGGAGGGGTGTCTGTCCATCCACCTTGGAGGTCCACCCTTGCTGGACATTTTGCAGTGACCCATGTGTTCATTGATGGCAACTCAGAAGGAACCAGTTTAATATGCTGGGATGAAATAGTTTCATGAAAATAAATTATAACAATTACATGCAACCCTCTACTAATATTAACATTCCAGAAGTAAAACATATTTACAAAAGATGCTTACTTATAGAATTATTAAATGCTATTTTCTTTGTTATGGCAAGAATAAGATCCTTTGTTGTTGTCTTTGTTTCCTATTTGTTACTTACTATTTGTAATTTTGTCATTATGTACAAATTTCATTTTTTTGAGATAGATGTGTTCTATAAAGTGTTACATGCCTCAATTATTGCAATCTGCTAATCAATCAACATTTTCCACATTATATTACCTAGAAATGATTGCCACAACATCTATTAAACCTTATATATTTCTTAAGTTTCTTCCATAGCTTATGAGTGTGTGAAGAGGATAGGAGAAGGGACAGAAGATGTAATAATATCTTTGCATTATATTCTAGTTCAAAATGTTACCTTAAATTACACTACCTTACCTGTACTATTATTCTTTGCTAATGAGAGAAACAGATTAGATGATCAAAGGAGGGGCACCACACCACATCTGAGCCAGGTATCTCTTCATCAGGAATATTGACATGATCAGGAGGACCAGACATGGCAGAACATGAAGGGAGCACATATGCATGGGAGAGGATAGTTTAGCAATGTGTACTTAAACAGAAATTATAATCACTCAATCCCACGATGGAAAGTGGGCAAATGAAGTTGTGTCCCATGGTGTAGAGTGGCTAGGGTGCAACGGACCATCCTCGGTAAGTTAACTACATCCAAATCCTCACTCGTTGGGTCTTCACCTCAAGTTCCATTCAACCCCAGGAACTCACAAGGTAGCCAAGTGCCAGGGATCTGGGAATGTATCATGCCGAATCCATGAAAAGTCCATAAAGTTCACTCAACCCCCACGACCATGAAACCAGCCTCAAATGACCCCAGGTTGGTAATAACTTCATCACCCAATGAGGAAAAACCCAGGACAGAAACCTTCTGCAACCCATAACACAGAAGACAAGTTGAGAGGGGAAGATGGACAACCTGAAACCTGTGTGAGGACTTATATGATTTGTTCACTCAATCTCTAAAATCTCACTTGCTTGATACCAACATCCATGTGAGGATAGGAGGAGGGCACCCAATTGGAGGGGTGAACTGAATTTAGGTGTCTCAACTCTTGGAATTAGTTACTCATCCAGAGGATCTTGTAACTCCCTCCACACTGGTAGAACTCTGAACTGAATTGCTATAACCATTTTTGTGGAATCCATCTAGCAGATTGCCAACCACTCCAGCAACACTTGAGATAGTGCAATGGGTTATCATGAAACCTTATTTTTAAAAGCAGACCACACCAATTTATTCAATCTAGGCATGGCAGGGATGTGCAGCAATCCTCTTCTGCTTTACCCATGCCGTCCATGGGTGGTACAGTCTGGGATGAACATATTATGATGTAATTAGCACAGGAAATTTACAATCTAGTGATCTTGTGAAACACCCCATCTCAAGGGTGAGTGTACATAGCCATGGAAAATGTTTAAGAATCAACATGGTTTACAGTGTGGATTTGATAGCAAGTTGTCTACAAATAGTTATAGCCGTCTAAATGGAACCCATTCTGAGTACAGACAGAATACACTTGCCATACGGTGAGATCCAAAGTGAAACTGAAGTGGTACAAGGTCCTAGTAACATCAAGAGCAAAAATATCCAACCTATGATGCTCGCAGGCCAGGAGGAGGAGGAGGAGTAAATACACCTTCAAAGAGAGGTGAAACAGGGAACACATAGACAGAGGTTCAAACAGAAGTAAAGTGAGGGCACAAAGGAGCATGTTAATGTCCCAGTCCAGGAGCAATGGATGCCTCGATGGCTGATGGAGCCGTTCCTTTGATGGAAAGAACAGGGGAAGCAAAGACCCTGCAGAAATGGGAAAAATGGAAGGTGTGGGATAATGCTGCCTGAAACCCTGAAATCGAGGTGACCATAGAACCCCTCTCAAAGAGCCATGTGAGAAACTCAGAGATACAGGCAACTGTTGGGTAAGAAGCCCAGAAACCCTGAGTCAATGCCCAGGAGTGATAAATTCTCCATTTGCATTGATAGACTGCCAAAGATAAAGGGTGAATGGAATTTACTAAATGTGAAACTACTCTGTGAGAGAAACCAGAACTCCTCACCAGGCATGAAGACAGATGGCGTGGGATGGAGCACCTGTGATTGGGATTAATGGAGCAGGTCAGGACAGAAGGGAAGAAGAAGAACCACCTGCAGTTGGAGCAACTGAGGGAACCAAAATTGAGCAGGACAGTAGGGAGCAACCAGAAGGGCCTTGCATGTAGTGGCATGGATGACAGAGACCACCTGATGATGTAAATGGATAGGGGTAAACATAAACGAACAGATGAGACCAATCCTGGCTGAAGGCATCAACAGCCAAGGCTTACGGATGGGGACCACAAGGAACCAAAAACGAGGTGATTTGTGATTGAGGGTGGTGGCAAATGCATCAATATGGGGTGTTCCCAGACGCAGACAAAGCCACTGAAAAATGGCAGGTTGCAGGGAACACTCTGTGAGATAAACGCGATCCGATCAGGAAAGACAACTGGCTGTGAGATTGAAATCATCCAGTACATGACATGCCATCAAACGAATTTGACATGAGTGGGCCCAATAAAGAAGATCCATAGTGCAAAAACACAGGGATCTGGACCTGGTGCCACCTTGGTGATTGATATAAGCCACCACAGTAGAATTGTCGGAATGGATCATAGCCAGCCATAGGCTGGTAAGAGAAAGAAAATGATCCAAAGACTGAAGAACAGCCAGGAGTTCAAGAACATTCATGTAAAGAGAACTCTCCTCCACAGAACAATGACCTGAAACTTCTTGGTGATCCACCCAGGCACCACAGCCATGAAGGAATGCATCTGCGAACAGATGTAAATCTGGCAACAGAGTAGGATGCAGGGCCTGTTCAACCACCAATGGAGATCATCTAGAAGGGATGAGGGAAGGGATATAGAAGTATCCAAGTGATCTGAGACGAGGTTCTATTGATCATGAAGGACCCATTGAAGAAATCTCATATGGGCCCTGCCCAGGGGTATGAGAGGGGTCATGGAGGACCACATCCCCAAAAGCAATAGAACCTCATGAGTTGTAAGTGAGGGAACAGACAGAACTTTCTGAATGGCCTGTTTTATAGAATGGAGCCAGTCAGAAGAAGGTTGGGCCCGACTGAGATGGGTGTTGAAGAAAACAACAAACAAACTACATATGAAGTGCAAGAGCTGCAGATGACAGATGAGCCAAGATAGAAGTAAGGATGGATACGATTTCAGTAGAAAACCCCTCGGGGTGCCTGTGAAGAGCCTCTGACAGAAGGTGAAGGGAAGAAAGGTACATTAACAGGGTTGTGAGAGTTACACAAAGGCAAGAAAATTGAGCTTGGGTAAGTCGGACAGGGTAATCCGAGTTCGGCCCCCAATTGGTAGAACCGACCCCAATAACTGTTGGTCGAGAAAGGGAAAGTCCACCAGATGATAAGCAAGGGCGGACTGATCTAAATTCCATGGGGGACGAAGCATCCTAATGCCCTCCCCCAGTTGAGAAGCAAATCAGTCCACTTAAACTCTTATATTGGGGATGTGGGGAAAGACTAAATAGGTTGGGAGGTTGTTTCATGTAAAAGGGAATGTCTAGAGTCATAGAAAACAAGTGTAAGAGACAAAACATCATATACCTGAGAGATAAAGCCTGAAAAGATGGATGACCTAAATCATCAGGTAGTGAATGGGAAAGTGCAGCAAACTCTGGGAGGGGAGGGGCAAACGTTCAAAATCATCGTTAGCCTGTCCCGGCTTGAAAGGCTCAGAAGGAAGTAGGGCAGAAGTAGCCAAGAGGTTGCTAATGTACGCTCAATCTCCCGGCAAATAAGCCACGATATATCCTCCGATGGGTCACCCGGGGCTGAAAATATGGCATCAGGCACAGGTGAAGTACCCAAAGTGGTGACTGTAACTTCTTTGGAATTCATAAGCGGGTAAAGCAGGAAACACAAGGAAGTAATGCTTTAATAAAAATATTAACTCCACAAGTGTGAAGTGTAGTAAAGTTAAGAAAAATATAAAAAATGCAAAATAAAAAAGAAACATTTCAAGGTAACAGAACAGTGTAAGAAAGAACGTCTGAACTCAACAGCTGCCAAACAAGAAGTGATAGTTTGGTAGTGGTGCGTAGAGGGAGTCACATGCATCACGTGATAGTAGTGCTCTCCTATTGGTGGAGAGGTGATGCATGATTTTCATGAGAGAAGTGTTGGAACTTTGGATTCCAACAGAGGGATGATGAAGGCTTGTAGCATGCATTTTTGAAAAAGTTTGCATCCAGAGGGCAGCACAAAATGAGAAAAGCTAATCTTGTGAGCGGAGGGAGAGTACCTTATCGGAATTATGGCTGCAGTGTATCAAATTTTTAGTTCTGTAAATCATAAGACTTACCACTGTGCCATTCAGTGGGGGGTGGGGGTGGGGATTTGTCGGTGAATTTGAGTGAAAGGCAATTTTCATGTTAAGAAGAAAAATCTGACAGTTTTCATATTTCATTTGCAAAACTTCTAGAACCTCCTAAATGTATACAAAAAGTTATTTATGTCTTTCTAAACCCTAACACTAAATGTTGAGAAATCATCAGATGAAAAGTTGAAATTTATAAAATGAGTATTACCATTTTTCCTCTGCACTGCCTGCACTACTGATCTAAAATTTATAAATTGCTTATCTTAACAGTTTCAACTGTTAACCTTTTTAAGTCTTTTCTTTTGATTTTATTGCTGTATTTTGTACCCTTTGGATCAGCAATTTTCTCGTTTAAAGTAATAAATCACAGGGTGATCTCATTACCTGTTTCTGGTAGATCTACCATAAAAAAACATTATATATAACACACATTTAGATGCAAGCTTGTGATATTAGTTTTGTTAGGCAAAGCTGAGAAGTTACT